GACGGGGTTTCACCATGTTGACCAGGATGGTCTCGATCTCTTGACCTTGTGATCCACCCGCCTTGGCCTCCCAAAGTGCTGGGATTACAGGCGTGAGCCACCGCGCCTGGCCCTAATTTTATATTTTTAGTAGAGACGGGGTTTCTCCATGTTGGTCAGGCTGGTCTTAAACTCCTGACATCAGGTGATACACTCCCCTTGGCCTCCCAAAGTGCTGGGATTACAGGCGTGAGCCACCACACCCAGCCTTAAATAACCATGTTTTTAACTTTTGTATCATTTTCACAAATAAGTACTTGATATGATGAATGAAAATACAGATACATCTAAAATCATTACTGAATTCAAGGTAACATTTTCTCATTAGGTAATCAGTCAGTGATACTAAATGTAAATTACTGCTTGTAGGAATTAGCAACTACTGCTTTCATCAGGGAGTCCTATAAAGATTGGTCAAGTAAGGCCAGGCGCAGTGGCTCCTGCCTGTAATCCCAGCCCTTTGGGAGGCCGAGGTGGGTGGATCACTGAAGTCGGGAGTTTGACACTAGCCTGACCAACATGGAGATACCCTGTCTCTAAAAGAAAAAAAGATGGGTCAAGTATAGGCACAATAGATGTTATTACATGTTGTGGGTGGGGGGGCATCTTCAGAAGTTTTCTACCAACTACCTCTGAGGGGAGTAGGGAGAGAGGGACCAGGCAGTCACCTCCAAAAATCATGGTAACTGCCCCACTCTTCTTGGCTTCCTCTAGCTATCCTAGTCTTGGCCCCTTGGGCAGATTTTAGAGACAGAGTTCAGTTTAGAGATGGAGTTCCCCCAAATTATATGGTAAGTGCAAGACCTAGGTTAGGAATAGAAAAATTGGAAATTCCTGATTTATTATTTCTTTTTTTAAAAAATCAGGTCAAGATGCGGTGGTTTATGCCTGTAATCCCAACACTTTGGGAGGCCAAGATGGATGGATCACTTGAGGCCAGAAGTTGGAGACCAGCCTGGCCAACATGACAAAACCCTGTCTATACTAAAAATATAAAAGTTAGCCAGGTGTGGTGGCATATGCCTGTAATCCCAGCTACTCAGGAGGCTGAGGCAGGGACAATCACTTGATCCCGGGAGGTAGAGGCTGCAGCTAGCCAAGACTGTGCCACTACACTCCAGCCTGGGTGACAGAGCAAGACTCTGCCTCAAAAAAAAAAAAAAAAGGAATATTTGCATTTGCATTAAAGAGAGCCAAATCTACTACCTGTGTGACTTTGGGCAAATACCTTAATCTCTCTGAGTCTAACATGTCCTAACATTTCTACTTTAGAGGACTGTTGAGAGAGGGTTAAATGAAAATGTAATAAAGTTCCCGGCCGGGCCAGTGGCTCATGCCTGTAATCCCAGCACTTTGGGAGGCTGAGGTAGGCGGACCGCCTGAGGTCAGGAGTTCAAGACCAACCCGGCCAACCTGGTGAAACCCCGTCTCTACTACAAATACAAAACAATAGCCAGGCATGGTAGTATGAGCCTGTAATCTCAGCTATTCGAGAGACTGATGCAGGGGAATTGCTTGAACCAGGGAGGTGGAGACTGCAGTGAGCTGAGATCTCACCACTGCACTCCAGCCTGGGCAACAGAGCAAGACCCTGTCTCAAAAAAAAGTAATAAAGTTCCCTTATTATATCCAGCAGAGAGTGGGCACTTAGCAGAAGCTAAGGAAGACTATCAAGAAAGTGATACCTTTAAGAGTTGAATCGATTTTTGGCACTGTAAACTGAGATAATAATTACCTGCCTCGCAGGGGTGTTGTGAGATTAGTAACGCTGTAAGCAAAACGTCTACTAATGTGCCAGTTAGTGCCCAGTCTTAGGACATAAGAACCCAGCATTTGGGTATAAGAATCAGTCCTTTTTTATTTACTACTCTGATATTGAGCCAAAGACAGGATTGTATGATTGTCTCTAAACTCTATCTCCAAGTTCTTTTCTTCCTAAGGAACTTCCTCTAGAAAATAAAACTGAGGGTCGGGTGTGGTAGCTCACACCTGTAATCCCAACACTATGGGAGGCCAAAGCAGGAAGACCACTTGAGCCCAGGAGTTTGAGACCAGCCTGGGCAACATGGCAAAACTTTGTCTTTACAAAAATACAAAAACTAGCTGGGTGTGATGGTGCACACCTGTAGTCCCAGCCACTGGGAGGGTGGGGAAGCTGAGAGCTTGAGCCCAGGAGGTCAAGGCTTCAGTGAGCGGTGATCGTGCTACTGCACTCCAGCCTGGGCGACAGAGGGAGACCTTGTCTCAGTAAAAAATAGACAAAACTGGGGATTACAGAACATGCCTTTCTCCGAGAATAGTAAATTCAAATGTTAACATATCCATTTATTTAACTTTGTTCAGAATATAAAATGAGTTTAAATTAGCTAAGAATAATAAGGGTAATATGTGAAAACTGCATACAGATATAAAAAATTATAGACTTTACAGAAAGGTTTAAAATGAAAAGTAATTCTTTCCCTGGATCCAATCCCATTCCCAAGTGGTAACCACTATTAATAGTTGCTTGTCTAGGCCGGGCACAGTGGCTCACACCTGTAATCCCAGGACTTTGGGAGGCTGAGGTGGGCGGATCACCTGAGGTCAGGAGTTGAAGACCAGCCTGACCAACATGGAGAAACTCTGTCTCTACTAAAAAAAAAATAATAATACAAAATTAGCCAGGCGTGGTGGTGCGTGCCTGTAATCCCAGCTACTTGGGAGGCTGAGGCAGGAGAATCACTTGAACCCAGGTTGGGGAGGTTCCCCTGAGCTGAGGTCATGCCATTGCACTTCAGCCTGGGCTACAAGAGGGAAACTCTGTCTCAAAAAAAGTTACTTGTCTATCATTCCCATTAACATACACACATAGATGTATGTCCTCTGTCCCCCTTACACAATGGGTACACAGTGAGCCTACGCTCTACCTAACATTCTGTGCCTTGATTGTTTTTTGTTCTCATTAAACATTATCCCTTGGGGATTTTTAAATATCAGCACAGATAACTCTTCTTGTTCTTTCTAACAGCTGTACAGTGTTTCTTTATACAATGTGACAACTCACTTACACAGCATCCTATTAATATTTAGGTTACTTCCAGTTTGTGCTATTACAAATACTACTTAATAAATATTCTTGTGTATGGACAAGTTTTTGCGTGTAGGATAAATTCCCACTGGATAAAAGAGTATGTATGCTTTAAATTTTGATGTTATCAGATATCATCCAAAGAGGGTACCTCTTCTAATGGGTATGGTGGTATCCAGTCCCCCAAACCCACCCCAACACTATCCTGGCATTAAAAGAAGTCCCTAACTGTATAATAGGTAAATTTGGTATCCTTAATTAGCTTTCATTGTAAGTTTGAGCATTTTTTGTAACATAATTGGTTTACATTTCTGTTCCTGTTATTTGCCTGTACCGATCATGTTGATACGTAATGTCTTTTAACATGAGGAAGTTAACTCCTTGTCTGTCATCCCTGGAAAATACTTTTTCTAAGCTTGTTTTGTACTTTAACTTTGTTTTTAGAAGTTTTTCCTTTTTTTTTTTTTCTTTTTATTTTTATACGGAGTCTCACTCTCTGGCCCAGGCTGGAGTGCGGTGGCGTAATCTTGGCTTACGGTGACCTCCGCCTCCCAGATTCAAGAGATTCTCCTGCCTCAGCCTCCTGAGTTGTGGGATTACAGGTGCCTGCCACCATGCCTGGCTTAGTTTTGTATTTTTAGTAGAGATGGGGTTTCACCATGTTGGCCACGCTGGTCTCGAACTCCTGACCTCAAGCAATCTGCTTGCCTTGGCCTCCCAAAATGCCGGGATTACAGATGTGAGCCTCTGTGCCCCTCCAGGAGTTTTTTTCTTTATAGTAGTTTTAAGTTTTTATATTCAGATTTATCAATTGTTCTCTTTATAACTTCTCTCCCACTCTAAAAAAAAATTTTAACAGTCTTTTCTAGGAGTTTACTTTTGTGTGTGTGTGTGTGTGTGTGTGTGTGTGTGTGTGTGTGAGATGGAGTCTCACTTTGTCACCCAGGCTGGAGTGCAATGGTGTAGTCTCTGTTCACTGCAACCTCTGCCTCCCAGGTTCAAGCAATTCTCCTGCCTCAGCTTCCTGAGTAGCTGGGACTACAGGGGTATGACACCACATCCGACAAATTTTTGTATTTTTAGTAGAGACAGGGTTTCACTATGTTGCCCAGGCTGGTCTCAACCTCCTGACCTTGTGATTCACCTGCCCTTGGCTTCACAAAGTGCTGGGTTACAGGCATGAGCCACGGCTCCTGGCGCAGTGAGCCGAGATCGCGCCACTGCACTCCAGCCTGGGCAACACAGTGAGACTCCATCTCAAAAAAAAAAAAAAAAAAAAAGTTTCAGCCACCTGAAATTGACAGGACTGCCTGCTGTGATAATGGCTGCTACTAATCAGTCCTCCTCACACCCTTTCACTCACCGGTCTCAGCACTCTGCACACCTCGCGGAGGATCTGTTCCTGGCTCTCCACAGAGCACAGCACCAGGGTGCAGACCACCACGTCCACAGAGCCATCGGCCACCTGGTGCATGTTCTCCCCGGCAGCTACCACAAAGCGCTCAAACTGCAGGTGACGGTTCTCAGCAATGCTCTTGATCAAAAACTTCTCAAAGTTGGGGTTGGGGTCAATACAGGTCACCCTGCACCCAGGTGGGTAGAATTTGAAGTTGGTCCCGGTGCCACAGCCCACCTCCAGCAGGGAGAGCTTCCCGGAGGGGCCTGCAAACTCCTGCAGGTTGCTGAAGAGCTCCCGCTTCTTGCTTGCCATCTGTTCGTTGTACATCACAGAGAACCTCATCAAGAAGTAGGGGAACCATTTTTTGCACATCCAGCTCCACAAGCCCAGAAAGTTCAGCAGGTACATGGGAAATGCCAGGATGTAAACGGCAAGTCGCAGGATAAAGATGGTAAGCTCCATTGGTCAGAAGCGGAGAAAAAAAAACCCAACAGATCAACAATTAGAGACCCGACTCCTTTAATTGCGGGAGAGAGGCTCTGACCACACTCCAGAGCCAATCAGCTGCAGCGGGAAAAAAGAACTGGCTGTGCTGCAAAGTCAAATGGCGGGCAAGAGGCCCATTTTGCCTAATTAACAGATATTCGGCAGAAGTCAGCTCAGCTTAGTTTTCATGAGTCAAAATGAGAAGGTTCCCAGCTTTTCCTGAGAAGGAAAGTTGATTATAATCCTTCATTCCTAATCGATTCCTGTTTCCCCTTCTCTGGGTTTAGAGGCGACTGCTAGCTTCCTGCTAGAGTTTACAAGCGCAGTTACTTACGCCCCTTTGGGCTCGTCAGTGACCTCTAAAAGAATTCGTGGGCGGAGCCTGGTGAAACCGCACCCGTAGAGGCTGCCAAGGCCCTTTATCATAACACGCCCCCCCTTACTCCCGCCCCCCGATCCTGTTTTGTTTTGTTTCTTCTTTTCTTTTTTTCTTTCTTTTTTTTTTTAAAGGAAGTGAAAGGACATGCATGGCCGGCCACAGTCAGCAAGAATTCTCCTTTTTACATTCTGGGCAGAGGCTCTCAGTGTTCCTAAGCCAACAACAGAATTATTTTTGTAAACCAAAAATAAAGTTGTAAGGTCCTCCAACCATTTGAATGGACTTTCTCCTCGGCCAGGGTGTTCTTAAAATGTAACCTGAGAGATTGGTTCAGGCCATGATGGGAAGTGGGAGTCAAGCGCCAACTTACACTTTTCCGGCATTAACATCAACACAGACCTTAAGTACATTTACAATCTATTCTCTCTGAAGCTTGCTACTTGGAGGCTTCATTTGCACCATAAAACTTCTGTCTCCACAACTCTTACTGCAACCCAGGTATTCCTTTCTGTTGATCCTAGGTCTTTAGATGAACTCAAGCAATTGTCAATCAGAAAATTTTAAAACCTACCTGTAATATGGAAGCTCCCCACCTCGCCTTGAGTGGTCCCGCCTTTCTGGTCCGAACCAATGTATTTCTTTTTTTTTTTTTTTTTTTTTTTTTCTTGAGACGGAGTTTCACTCTTGTTACCCAGGCTGGAGTGCAATGGCGTGATCTCGGCTCACCGCAACCTCCGCCTCCTGGGTTCAGGCAATTCTCCTGCCTCAGCTTCCTTAGTAGCTGGAATTACAGGCACGCGCCACCGTGCCCAGCTAATTTTTTGTATTTTTAGTACAGACGGGGTTTCACCATGTTGACCAGGATGGTCTCGATCTCTTGACCTTGTGATCCACCCACCTCGGCCTCCTAAAGTGCTGGGATTACAGGCTTGAGCCACCACGCCTGGCCCCAATGTATTTCTTACACGTATTCGATTGAAGTCTCATGTCTCCCTAAGATGTATAAAACCAAGCTGCATCCTGACCACCTTGGGCATATGTTCTCAGGATTTCCTAGGGCTGTGTCATAGGACATGGTCACTCATATTTGGTTCAGAATAAATCTCTTTAAATATTTTACAGAGTTTGACTTTTTTCTTGTCAATATTTAAAAATCATTGTCTTGGGCTGTACTCCCCCTTTTTGAAAAATTTTTGGCTCAAGGAAGTCGGTTCATGGGCTGCCCTTCTTTTAAAGGACAAGCCTCAGTCTTCAAATTGTGTCTATTCGATTACTCAGATAATTTAGATAAAAATATTCCCCAGAATATTCATATTTGGGAGCCAAAGGGATTCAGAAAATAGTTTCAAGCATCCTTCAACTTTTTACAAGAAAGGCTGAATCTAAGCACAGTGGTGGGTGCCCGTGGTCTCAGGTACTGAGGAGCTAATGCAGAAGCACACCTTCAGCCAAGGAATTCAAACCCTGCCTGGGCAACATAGTGAGAATCTATCTCTTTAAAAAAAAAAAAAAAAAAGACTATGAAGAAGAAAGCCTGAGCTCTCGGGTGGTTAGGGAACACAGAAAAAAAGTTTTTTAATAGTAACATTTACTTTTAAAAACTGAGTGATAGATACAGGGAGTGTTCTGTTGTTACATGATTCGTTATACCCTGCATTTATAAATATTATATCTATTCCACTTTTAACAGCTTTTTTTGAGGTGGAATTGATATATAATAAACTTTACATAGCTGATGGGTACAGTTTGATAAGTTTTCATATATCTCTGTACCTGTGAACCCATCACTTCAGCCAAGATCGATGAACATACCCATCACCCCTGAAAGCTTCCTCTTGCTCCATTGTGATCCTCCCTTCTCCACCCCTAATCCCAAGGCAGTCAGTGGCCTCTTTTCTGTTTTTGAAAACAGGATCCAGGGACCAGGGAAGAAACTGAGCCCAGCAATGGCGCGATCTCGGCTCACCGTGACCTCTGCCTCCTGGGTTCAGGCAATTCTCCTGCCTCAACCTCCTCAGTAGCTGGGATTACAGGCACGTGCCACCATGCCCAGCTAATGTTTTTGTATTTTTAGTAGAGACGGGGTTTCACCATGTTGACCAGGATGGTCTCGATCTCTTGACCTCGTGATCCACCCGCTTCGGCCTCCCAAAGTGCTGGGATTACAGGCTTGAGCCACCGTGCCCGGCCTAGGACTGGAGATTCTAAAGCCCTCAGCAACGGAGAATGAAAGTAATTTTGTAGAGAATTTAATTCTTCTTTTTAAAAGGGAGAGGTCTATGGCCACAAAGTTTGCTTGTAAGAGAAGCACCAGAGTAACCCCCAGACGTTACCATTAACAAAATTAAAATGCCTTTGGGAACCTACCCGGGCCATAGGCATTTCCTTTTGCAAATCAGATAACCTCATTTTCCTTCTGGTGACATAGTCTTTTCTTTTTTTCTTTTGCACTTATCTTTTGTTTTTGTTTTTGTTTAGGAAAACAGCCTGAATGTTGTTCCTGAAACTCTTTTTCAGAATTGCGAAAACAAAACAGCATTCTGGAATTCTGAGCAAAAACCAATCCCTGGGTCACAAAGCCCAGTTGAGACAGATGGAATTGAATTTTCAGGCTAGGCGCCTTGACTCATACCTGTAATCCCAGCGCTTTGGGAGGCCAAGGCTGGCAGATCATTTGAGGTCAGGAGTTTGAGGCCAGCCTGGCTGAGGCGTGAGAATTGCTTGAACCTGAGAGGTGGAGGTTTCAGTGAGCCAAGACTGTGCCAGTGTGCTCCAGCCTGGGCAACAGAGTGAGACTGTCTCAAAAAAATAAAAATTAAAAATAACAACAAATTGAATGGTCAAATCAAATAATAGAATATTTAATTTTCAAAAACGCCTACAAAACAAATGTACTGCTAATACATATAACAACAAAAATTAATCTTACAGATTAAAGGAAAAAAGTACATACTGTAGCATTTTATTTACATTAAGTTCAAAAACAAGCGAACTGACTTATAATGTTATAGACATTTTGGGGTTATTGACTTACAGGCCACAAAGGAGCCTTCTAGGGATATTGGAAATGTTCTATATTTTTCTTTTGTTGCAAGTTAAACATATATATACACACACACGTAAAAATTATCAAGCTGTACACTTAAAGTTTGTGTACTTTAATTGTATGTAAATTTATCTGAATGAAAATGTAATGACTGTTCAAGTAAAAAAGGACATAATAGGAATATAAAAGGGGCATATGTGACATACAATAGAAAAATTTAAAACTATGAGAATATTATGTAAAACTTTATGCTAATACGTTTGAAGCCTTGGATGAATTGCATAATTTTCTGCAAAATTGAGAATACCAAAATTGATTAGAGAAGACATAGAATAGGCCGGGCGCGGTGGCTCAAGCCTGTAATCCCAGCACTTTGGGTGGCCGAGGTGGGTGGATCATGAGGTCAAGAGATCGAGACCATCCTGGTCAACATGGTGAAACCCCATCTGTACTAAAACTACAAAAAA